ATTTGCTTCCAAGCTTCACACAAGGCAGGTTTCTCCTGTTTCATGGCCAACCCTGGCAGCAGGACCACAACCTGGACTCATCCTGATGAGACCCCAGAGCGTCCGTGTGCCTTTTCTAGCAAAAACCAAACCTCCCCACCCCACCTCGCATAGCCTGTGGCCAAGGTGCCTGGCCCAGCACTGCCCTGCAAAGGGCACTTTGCCTTTTCCCTGCAGTGAGCTCCCTCCCGCTGCATTTCTTCCCGGTGCCCAGAGCCAGGGTGGTGCCACCAGCTGTGCCACACTTCCTGGCTCCAAAATGAACCTTGGGAACCAAAATGCCGAGTTGGGCTTTTGCTGGAGAGCAGTGGGGTGAGGAGGAGGGAGCCTATTGCCAGCGTGGTGAGCGCCAACCCAGTGATGCCCCTTGAAACACCAGAATTAGGTGCCCTCCCAGCAGCATGGTGGGGTGCTCTGAACGCTGGGCCTGGGGAGAGGTTCCAAAGAGACCTGAGTGTGAGATGCCTGATGGGCAGTTCAAGGCTAGCTGGTGGCCACATCCCTCAGGAACCTGCTCTACAGGTACTGACTGACTTACATTCATCAGATTATTTCCCCCTTATTCGTTTAGCCGGCAGTCATGAGCTCGCTGTGCCTGTGCCCCTGTGTGGCACAGCCATCACTGTCCCCAGCCACATCTATCACTGATGCTTCACTGTGGGGTTTCCCTTCCCTTCCCAGAGCCCTGCTGAGACGATGGATGAACAGGATGCTGCAGCCCTGACTCAAGCACGGATGGATCCCCGCTGTAAAACAGTGGATGCGGAGAAGGTGAGAGCCTGGGGGTCTGCCAGAGTGCTCCTGGGGGAAACCAGCTCTCCTCTCTCCTGCAGGGATGCTGGCTGGCTGCTGACCCCTGCGATAGGAAGGGTGCTGGGAGGGAGTCAGGCCGATCTGGCTGCTTCTGCCCTTTATCCCAGCACAGACAGCATTGCTCGTGCTTTATTGCCCAGGCGTGGCTGTGCTGGGAGGCTCCTGCTGCGGTGGCGTGGGAGGAGATGGTGTTCTCTGACAGTGGCTGTGCTCATCGAGTGGGACGTGCTGCCAGGCCACACCTTGCTTGCCTGAGTTATTGCCTTTTCCCACTTTTTTCCCCTTGACTGAGCACTAAGGAATCCCCTGGCCCAGGTAGGGTGATCCCCATGTGTGCAGAGTGCTCCCTGCCCTGGCAGCTCCAATCTGAGCACACGACAGGGTGGGGATTTGTCCCCAAGCTGTCTTTGAATGTCCCTGCCTTATGTGGCACTACCTGGCTGCTCTGCCTTGCATGCTCCTTGGTGAGCGCGCCTTTATCTTGAAAAAGGTATTTTTATTTTGAGCAGGGGAGCACCTCTCACCCTCCCCCACCATCTTTATCTTTCGCTTCCTGACTGCCTTTAAAATCAGTCACCCCAAAGCGACCTTTTTGCCCTGACTTTTCCTCTACCTCCCTCATGGACGGTGTCTCCATCCCCATCCCATGCACCCTCTGTGGGCTGGGGTTGTTTCCTCTACTGGGCAATCACATCTGTCCCTGCCTGCACCAGAGCCCCAAAAATGGCCATGGCCACCTGGGCTGTTTGCTCTGAAGCTCCCCAAATGGAGCCACCCCCTGGCACTGCTGCCAAATGACCGGTGGCGCAGCCGTGGGTGCTGGTGCCGCGCCGGCGCTGCGCAGCACAGGCTGGATGATGGAGAGGTGCCAGGCCTGCGGCTCAGCGGGGTATAAGCATGGTTTCTGTCCCAGAGCAGGGGTGGGACCAAGAAACCACCTTATCTGGCCAGGCCAGCAGAAGACGTTCCTGGGGATGCTGAGCAACAGCAGAGGTGGTGCTGCTGGTTGTGTCTCTCTATTTTTGTCCCACACAGACATGCACCCTGCACAGGTCCCTTCTTGCTGTTGCATCCATCTGAATGCAGTTATGCATGGGACCATAACTGGTGTTTGTATTCTCAGCCTGTATCCCTGCTCCCCATCACTTTCTGCTTCTCTCCTCACTGCTGGAGCACTCAAATGGCTGTGGTTGCTCTGTGTGTCCTCTTCACAAGGAGAAAAGCCTTTGGCCAGGCAATGCCATGGGGATGGACTCCACATCTGACCTCCAGCTCACTGGAATGGCTGGTGAGGGGGGAATATTGCTGCTTGCTATCTAATCTTGGCAGCTCCCTGCAGGGAGAGAGCCTCTGTTATTGGGGTCCGATGCTGAGCCAGGTCTGGTACAGCCACCTTCACCTTGAACCATCGGCAGGTACCTGGTGGCACAGGGGTGAGCTCACCCCTCTGCTTGTGTGCAGATGGAGCTGATGTGTGTCTGGCTCTGCTTGTCTGTTCTGTGCCAGTGCTTACAGGCAGCTCAGGGCTGCTTGGAGCAAGAAGCAACTGCTTGTGGGGCATGGGAAAGGGTTTGCAGCCCCAGATCCCACAGCTCTGTGCCTGGTACCAGGGCAGTGTGTGGTTACAACTGATGTCTGCTCCCTCAGGACCTGGTGGACTGGCAGAAGCCCTTGCTGTGGCAGGTGGGCTACCTGGGGGAGAAGTATGATGAGTGGGTGCACCAGCCTGTGGATCGTCCTATCCGCCTCTTCCACTCGGATTTCCTTGAGTCCCTCTCCAAGACAGCATGGTGAGCCCCTGGGGTATGCGCTGTGCCCTGGCCAGTGCGTCTATGGGACGGGGGGGACAGGGGACAGCTTGCCACCCCATGGGACGATCTCTCTGACATCTGTCTCTACCCCATAGGTACATGGTGTTCATGGTGTGGACTCCTGTAGTACTCTATCTCAGCTGGGTCAGCTACACCTCCCTCGCCCAGGGCAACACCAGGCTCTTCTCCTCCTTCAGCACAGGTATAAGTAGCACCAAAGCCTTTGGGCTCACTCACTGCTCCCACTTTGGGTCTAGGCGACAGCCCTGGGTGGGATGAAGACTTCTGCATCTCATCCACATCCCTCCCGCATCCCTCCTTCCATGCATACTCAATATGAGTCACATGCACAAGCAGCACATGACCCCCTGTCCCCATGGCCACCGGCACATCACCTGAACAAAGCTGTCTGCGTTGCTTTAAAGCCTAAGCTCACTCACCTCCATCCCCTCCTCTCACCCACACCATTCTGTCCCCTTAAAGGCCATCAGTAGAGGCACGGAGCATGCAGCCTGCTCCCACTTGCTTCCCTCCCTTCCTTCCATCCCAAACCCAAGCCCTGCAGGCACTGCGGTGCGTGCCAACCCTGCTGACACCCACCCTGGGCCACGGCTGGATGCCGGCGTGGCGGGTGAACAAACCCAGCTCTCAGCGCTGCCGACATCTCACAGTACAGGGCTTGTTTGCCTGGAGCGCCTGCCCTTGAATCTCCCACTGTCTGCTCCCCCGGGAATAACAAGCGTGGCCGGGGCAGGCTGTCATCTTTGTTGTCCTTTTTTCTATTGCTGGGCTCCCTGGGTTTTCTTTTTTTTTTTGTTTGGTTGGGCTTTTTTTTTTGGTTTTTTTTTTTTGGTTTTTTTTTTTTTTTTTTTTGCAAGGTGCCACCCTGTGCCGGCTGTGCCCGGCTGCACCGGCAACCTCCTGCTCCTTGCAGCATTTGGCACCTTGCTGCCAAGGCTTTGGTGGTTTTGGTTTGGGTTTGGGAGTATTTTTGCCCCAAAATTGAACATGTTGGGGGAGATCTGAATTCTTCTAGCAAAGATCCAGGGCTGTCAGCCAGCCCTGGAAGGAGGAGGTGGCTGAAAAATGCTCTGCGGGGGAAAGTGCCCAACAAACCTATTCTTTTTCCCCCACAATAGTATAAACCCAGCACTGGCAGCACTGTTTAACTGTCAGGAGTGCTGCCTGCACGGATAAGGTCCCTCCTGCCTTGTTCTGGTGGGTGAAGCAGCTTTGTTCAGACGAGGTTGTCCCTGTGGTGCATATCCAAGCCCCCATTGTCATCTAGGATATAGGGGCCCCCCTTGCTGGTTCCTTGTGACAGTGAGAAGCTGGCTGTTTCCATAAAGAGTATGAATTAATGGGAATCAAAGGAAGATGTGGCTTGAAGTGGTGCTTGAGGAGCTCCCTGGGGAAGCTTGGGGCAGGAGGTGGATGAGAGGTGAGAGGGAGGGAGAGGTGATGAGGATGGCGATGGAGAAGAGCACCCACACGTCGCCTGCCCTGCTAACCACTGCATGTCTTATTGTGTAGAGTACTCCATCCCCGTCCACAAATACTACTTCCCCTTCATCTTCCTCCTGGGGATGTTCCTGTGGTCCCTGATAGAGTATCTCATCCATCGCTTTGTCTTCCACATGAAGCCACCTGCTAGTAACTACTATCTCATCACCCTGCATTTCTTGCTGCACGGGCAGCATCACAAGGTGAGTCGCAGCTCACACCTCCGCCGGCGCCCGCTGGGCCGTGGGAACAGTGGCCTTTGCTCAGGCGGAGCCTGTCGGTGCGTGTTCAACGTGTGACTCGTGGCATCTTCGCCCCAAGCGGGGCCCTTACTTAATACCAGCGAGGGCTGCCAGACGGGGTCTGCGGAGCTGGAGTCAAAGCTGCAAGCTCCTGCCGGGCAAGCGGGAAGACCAAACAAGCCATGGGCTCCCTCTAGCGCCACTGGAGGAAGTGTGCCCGTGGAGCTCGGGAACCTGCCAGCCAAAGCCACTGGCTACCCGGCCACCTTGGCGAGGACAAGAGGCTGCTCTCGCTGCTGGTTTCATCTTTTGGGGAGGGTTTCTGGAGGCTTTGGTGTTGGCTTTTCCCAGATGCTTTGTAGGGATGCGCTGGGAGATGTGATGTGAGCTAGGAGCTCCCTTTCCCATCAATCTTTCTCTGTTTCCAGTCTCCCTTTGACAGCTCCCGCCTGGTGTTTCCTCCCGTGCCAGCCTCGCTAGTGATGGGCTTCTTCTATGGCGTCCTGCAGCTTCTGCTGCCCGAGGTGCTGGGGCTCTCTGTGTTTGTTGGGGGGCTCTGCGGCTACGTTGTCTACGACATGATGCACTATTACCTCCACTATGGATCACCGAAGAAGGGCACATACCTGTATGGCCTGAAAGCTTATCACGTCAAGCACCACTTTGAACACCAAAAATCAGGTAGTGCTACATTACCTATGCGTGCTGGCGGGCAACAAGGGTTGTCACAGCCTCACCTCCCTGCACATGTGCAGCTGATGCTCTGAATCCTTCAGTGTTTGGGATTTGGGATGGGGAAACCCACCCATGCTGCTAGGGAAGTGGTGTGTGAGGAGTAGCCCCATAGGGCACCTTTCTTGGCTCCCAGGTTGAGGATGGGGACCTGGCGTGTCACAGGGGTGAAGGCAGCAATCTGTCACACTGGTAGGCACCAATGCTGCCTGGGGATGCCAGGACAAAGGGACATGGATGTGGGTGCCTGTCCCTACCCAGAGCGGCATCTCCTCCTGCCAGGAGGTATTGTCAGGCACAGGGTGAGGCACAGGGCTTCCCCAGGTCCTCTTCGCACCTTCCCCAAACCAGTGCTTGCTCAACTTGCCCTTTGCCCGGTTTCCTAGGAGAAAACACCCCATTCAGATAAGCTATCATCCATGGGTCTGGCAGCATGGCCCAGCCAGCTCCTTCTGCTCTTCCTCTTTACCCTCACGTTGCCTTCCTCCCTTCCCTCCCTCGTTAGTTAGTGTAGAGCAAGCTGTGCCCTGCCCCAGCAGCATCCCAGTGATGGTGGTGCTGTGTGCTCAGCTCTCTCTATCCCATCCTCAGGCTTCGGCATCACCACTCGCTTCTGGGATCACCCCTTTGGGACACTCATCCCTGAGGAAACCTTTGAGAAGGAGAACTGATGGCCCTGATGGTGTGGCACCTGGCTGCTGGCTCCATCCACCCCAGGCTGGGGCTGGCATCCTTCCAAGCCCTCAGCAGGGCCCCTGCCTCCTTCCTGGGGACTGTGCCACAGCAGTTGGCCCCACACTGGAGCATCCCCGTGGTGCACTGTGGCACTTGCCAAGGGGAACAGGGTGTGAGGATGCAGGGAAAGGGGAGGAGGTTGCGGGGCTCGCTGCGGGGCTCCTGCCCATTCCTTGCTGCTCTCCTGCTCCAGGACACGGATGCATGGGCAGATCTGCTGCCTGAGAGATGAAGTGCCTGATGCCACCCTCCTCCTCCTCTGCCCTGGAACTTTGCTCGAGCCCTCTGGCCCTCTCTGGGCATACAACACGCTGCAGTTAACTCCATCTCCTAACTTGTGCCGAGAGGCTTCCATATCCTGGATCCTTCTCCCAGCCCGATCCCAGCATGGGGTTTTCTTGGCCTGCAGCTCTTTGCATGGGGATCCTTTATGTCTAGATTTTTGTCTTTTTCTAAATAGTGTACCTGAATCTCTCTCCCAGATTTATCAAGTTCATGGGTTTAGTAGACATTGGCTACTCAAAACTCAAACTCCAATGAACAGAATTACTACTACCTTATGCCCTTTTGCTGATCCTGTGATTTGGTTTGTGTTTGTTTTTTTTTCTGAATGTTTAGTGCAGGTATTTAAAGGTTTGGAATAAAGCTCTTTGTAAAACTGTAGACACTACAATTGTAAATAAACTGTATATTTTGAAAAATAAAGAAAAAAAAGACCCCTTTTAAACGGGGTCTGGCTAGTGTATCCCTCGGGGCTCCTCCTACATTCTTCCACCCGCGATGCATCCGTTCGCAGGTGCCAATGGCCCTTGGTGCTCCGATACCTTGGGGTTTCCTTTCACATCTCCCCATGCTGACGAAAGCTGTGCTGTGGGTGATGGTGATGGAGATGCTTTCTGCAGTGGGAAACCACAGTGAATGTGTGTGACCCTGGGCTCCTGGTAAGCAGAAGCTGGCTAAAGCCACAGCTCACTTCTCTGAAGTTAGGCAACAGCATCACGTGCTGCCCCCAAACCAGCCTGGCCCTCTGACGTACCCAACTGCAAAGCTTCCTGTGCTCCTGGAAGAGGCCAAGCACTGTTTCCAGCATGGGTGCCTGCAGCCTGCTTCCTTTGATTGATGCTGGGGTGTCCTGAGGCTTCAGGGATGGGGAGGAGAGTGGAAGGTCCCAAATGACCAGCATCCCTAGTGTGGGATGGGTGTGCTCCAGAGGGTCCTGCTGCCCAGTGTAGGGTTTTTTTCAGAGCTGCTGCTGAGGGTGTCACAGTGCCTTGGGCAAGCAGGGAAGAGCCCTGCTTACCCAATCTCCTCCTCCTCCCCTTTCCCTGCATCCTCACCCTTTATCATAGAATCTCAGAATGGTTTGGGTTGGAAAGGACCTTAAGATCATCTAGTTCCAATCCCCTGCCATGAACAGGGATGTCTCACATTAGACCATGTCACCCAAAGCTCTGTCCATCGTGGCCTTGAACGCTGCCAGGGATGGAACATTCACCACATCTCTGGGCAACCTGTGTCAGAGCCTCACCAGCCTCACAGGGAAGAACTTTATATCTAACCTGAACTTCCCCTGTTTCAGTTTAAACCCATCACCCCTTGTCCTATCACTACAGTCCCTGATGAAGAGTCCCTCTCTGGCTTCACTGTAGGCCCCCTTCAGATACTGGAAGGCTACTCTGAGGTCTCCCCCAAGCCTTCTTTTCTCCAGGCTGAACAGCCCCAACTTTCTCAGCCTGTCTTCATAAGGGAGGAGTTCATGTCCCTGATCATCCTCATGGCCCTCCTCTGGACTTGCTCCAACAGCTCCATGTCCTTCTTATGTTCGGGACACCAGAACTGTACACAATACTCCCAGTAAGGTCTCGCAAGAGCAGAGTACAGGGGCAGGATCACCTCCTTTTACCTGCTGGTCATGATCCTTGGGAAGCAGCCCAGGACATGGTTGTCTTTCTGTCCTTCTTGGCAGCACACCACAGGGATGCTCCAGCGTGGTACCACTGCTGTGGCATAGTCCCCATGAAGGAGGCAGGGGCCAGCAGCCCCACTGAGGACTGGGGAGGGATGTTAGCCCACAGCAGAAGGGATTGGGGTGCTCCAAAAAGCAACAAGCACCAAAATGGGGAGCGCAGCCTCCCCCATCCCCTTTCTCCCCAGGTGCTTCCCACAGACAATTCCTTCTTCTAGCAAGCAAAACCCAGCACAGGCGGATAAGGCTGTCTGGCCCCTTCCTCTGCCAGCTAACCAGGTTGCTGGGAAGGGGGAGCCAGGCTGGCGTGGGATGTACAGCAGGTTGCACAATGCCTCTTCCTCTGCCCCGGGAGCAGATGGGGAAAGCACCCTATGAATGCACCCTATAAACTCACCGTGGTCCTACCGTGCCTCTCAGTCTGCAGAGGCAGTGGTGGCGAGCGAAGTGGAGCCAGGTAAACCCAGCTGATCTGGCAAGCAGATGAGCTGATTCTTTCTTTGGGGCCATGCTACAGAGAGCTGAAGAGGAAGGGCAAGAGGCTGAGCTTGGTTTTGGATGCATTTCTGTGTCGTTTCCACCTGGTAGAGCCTGGCTGCATCAATGGTGTGGGTGGCTGCTGCTCATTTCCCTGCAACAGAGGCAGTTTTCTGCCCCTGCTGCCTGGATGCGGGCTGGGCAGCAGGGACTATCCCTGCAGGGATGCTGAGCACATGGCAGGAGTTTGATTTAAAGTCTTAAGTGGGCAATACAGGGCTAGAGGGAGAAAATATGAAGTCAAGAACACTGGGGCTGTGAGGGCATGAGATCTTTTATTAGATGGGTGACAACAGAGAGACATTGACTAGAAATAAAAATGGATCTTTATGATCAAAGAGGTAGGCTCTGGGGCAGGACTCCAAGATGCTGCGGGGCCAGTGCCAGGAGTGCTGCCCAGGAGATGCTCCTTGGGTCATTGCAGACCCTGCTTGTCTCTGTATAAGCTCTCTGGAGATGGCTAACAGAAAATTTATTTATATAAATCAAGCCAAAACATCTTCTGCTAATGCAGAGCAAGATGTGCCCATCTCACTAGATGCTGCTAGTAATGTCTCTGTTTGTGTATGCCTGCTCCAGCCTTAGAAGAAGGTGTAGAAAAGCCTCATCTGGCTGATCTCCGAGTGATATCCAAGGCTCACCTCCACTAGACTCTGCCAGCCCACATCCCCAGCAGCCAAGCCATTCACTGCAAGCATGGACATCGTGGAGAGGATCCTCTCTGTGGCCCAGGCCATCCATGCCCAATTCGAGCAGGTGAAGTGCTGCAAGCACCAGTGCCAGCACCTCATGGAGCGCATCCAGATCCTGCTGGAGTCCGTGAGAATCCTCAAGGCTCAGCCACCAAAGCACATCTCCTGCCATGAAGAGGAACTGCTGAAGAAGCTGCTGGGGGCACTGGGGGAAGCCCAGAGGCTGGTGATAAAATACAACCAGACCAGCTGGATCCAGAAGTTCCTGAGAGCCCGCAGCACTGGCGAGGAGTTTGTCTGGGTGAATGAGAGCCTGGAGGACATCACCCAGGGGCTCTCACTGCTGTTGCAGGCAGAGCAGAAACAGGCTTTCCTGGAGGCTTTTCAGGCAAAGACATGACGCAGGCAGGATGCTGAGGACCTGAGGGATGATAAGGCTTTCTTGGACCAGGTGATAGCAAATAAGTGTGCATTTAGCAAACCATCTTCCCCTGAGGTTGGCACCTCCCCACAGCTGCTGCCCAGCTTTGGCTTGATGGCCATGGCCAAGGACAGACAGATGAACATTTAAACCACAAGAAAAAACTAACTGTATTGGTCCCACATGTTTATCTAGCAACCCCACCCCTGCATGTTTCTCTCCCCAGGTACTGAGGAGCCCGAAGACATGACCAGGAAGATCTACGCTGACAGGCAATGTATGGAGAGCAAGGTGGACTGGTTGCAAAGTGAGCTGAACAAAATCGTGCGTGTGATGGACTGTAAGTTGGGTCACACCTCAAGGCACCCTGTGTATTGTGTCTTTACCCACTGAGACCTGTGTAACGTGTCCCTTGCTCCCTCCTGGCACATGGCAGGAGCAGGCTTGAAGAAGGTCAATGTTGGTAAAAGAGAAGACATCACTGAGATCAAGCGGGATCACCTCACCTTCTACAAGCAACTGTAGGACACTGAGAGTTACAACCTCTACAAAGGCGAGTACCTCAAGTACCCCGTTGCCATCAAAACCTTCAAGAGGCCATTGACCACCGACACAGCGTGAGTTGTCCTGGATGGGAGCAATATGGGGAGGCCAGGAGAGGAGGGTGGCACAGCACCATGTTGTGTCTTGTTGCAAGGATCTCACCATGCTGTTCCTTTCTGCAGGAAGGTGAGAGACATCTTTGAGAAGGAGATTCAGACCCTGAAGAAGTTTGAGTCTCCAAACATCCTGCGTATGTACAGGATCTGCATTGAAGAGAAGGGTAGGGAGTGTCACATTAATGTCACCCTTTTCCTCCCCTGCCTGTTCCCAGCGCTAGCTGATGACAGATGGTTTGTCATGGCCCCCCCCAGGAGATGACAGAAAGTGGAATGCTCAAGATTTTGCTTTGCAGATGGGAGCCCCTGCTTCTCCATCGTCATGGAGTACTGCAAACACGGGACACTGCGGGATGTGCTGACAAAGCAACGGCATCTCTCCTGGGACATGCGCATTCAGATGGCTCTGGGAGCCACCAGAGGCCTTTACAGGTGAGTTCCTGAATAAACCAGTGGGTAAGTCTGCCTGACAATCCACAAGCCATACTCAGCTTCCTGGTATCTCTCAGTAAGCAGTGGTATCCTGGCAGACACTGTTTCCACCACCTTGGGACACTGGGGTGGCAGGCTGGTGAAGAGGTAGGCAGTGGGTTTGGATGCACTCATCTTGCCAGGTCACTGGCCCATACATCTGACTTCAAGCCTGCAAAGGCCTGGAAGGGAGAAATCCCCTTCCCCACACCCATAGGGCAGCTTCAGGAGCACTCTACAGCATGGTTGTGGGTGAGGATGAGGATGGGTCCTCATCCACAAGGCTCGTTATTTTGCCCTGCTGGAGAGGTTGGCTTGGCTGGAAAGGTCAGCTTGGCAAGGTTGGTGCACCAAGAGAGACAGAGAGCTGCTGGCTCCTCTGGCTACATGTCAATCCACCCCATACACAGCAGGAGGGAGCCCCAAGGTGAGGATGGGTCCATCACCAGTGTGTGTTGCCCTTGGCTGCAGGTTGCACCAGACAGAGAAGAAGTCCCGACTCCATGGCTGCATCTGCAGTAGCAAGTTCCTGGTGGCCGGGGATTACTGTGTGAAGGTAAGGGCCATGCCTGGAGTTTTGCATGTTTTTGTGGATGTATCCCTCTGCTAACACTGAAGGGAATTATGATGGTCCAGAATAAAACCCAGGGTAGAGCCATCTCCTCTGTCACCTTGGGCGCTGATACCTCAGTTAATCATTATTTCTGTTTTATTATCAGCAAAGTAACCATTTCTGAGCCACCCACCCTGGGATGAGCTGAAACCAGGGTAATTCACCTGCCTTCACCTAATATTTCATTTGCAGAAAGGTCCATGTGCTGGGCAGCACATGTGGCTGCACAACAGCCTTTGCTGCCCAGAACACCTCACTCTGCTTTCTCCATCTCAGGCAGTCCACAGCATTTCGCACATCTGCCACTTCTCCCTTTCTCTCTCTCATTCTCTCAATCAGCTCTCAGGATTTGAGCTGTGTGAAACAGAGTCAACCATCAAGAGGAAAGCCAAGAATAACTGGAAACAAGTCTCTATGTTGGCTTATATCGCTCCTGAGAACCTGAAGGACACGAACTACCCCTGCAGGAGGCCCTGTGAAATACACAGGTGTGCCTGTCCTTCCCGAGGGACGTCTGTAAGCAGACGGATGCCAGGCAGGGTCGCTGTTGAGCCGTGGAAGAAGGCCAAGGTTTAATCCTCCACATAAGCAAATGTTTGCGGTTGGCATAGGAAGGATGACATGGTGGGATGAATGCTCAGCTCTTGCTTGTCTTCTTCCAGCTTCGGTATAGTGCTGGGGGAAATTGCGACCTCCAAAATCCCATTTGAAGGTGAGACAGAAGTGTCTGGTTCCCTGTGTAAAAGCCACATGGCCCAGTGAGGCTCCTGCCTGGTACTTCCCAGAGCATCCCTGGGATATACAATACAGGAAAGCATTTCAGCAATATGCTTAAACCACAAACATGCAAGTGATTTTTGTCTCTATTTGATGTTCCTGTGCATTGAAGCATGAACACATCTTGCTCCACTGGAGTCCAATAGTGTCATGCCAAATACAAGAGGAGTTCATTGCAGACACAGTTTGAGTGGCTTGTCTGCAGCCTTCTCATGCTGAGGGCTGCAGAAAGGCTGTTGGCATGGCTGTGCACTGGGTTTCCTCCCCACACTGTCCTGTGGCAGCAAAGCTCTGTCCTGACACTCGTGTTTGCACGTGTGTTGTTCAGGCTGCACTCCCCAGGAGATCATGGAGAAAATCTGAAACCACCAATACCAGGAACCTGTGGGGGACGATTGTCCTGAAGACCTGCAGAAAGTCGTTGACCAGTGCCGAGCCTTTGACCCTTCCCAGCGCCCTTCTGCTGAGAGTACGTGTCCTACATATCTGCTCCACAGGCCCTTTGTATCCCCCAATCAGCTGTTCCAGCAGTCAGTTTGCCCCTTGTTTTCCACATGAATTTGTCTGGCTTTGTGTTTTGGAATCCCTCCTTGATTTACCTTCTTACGCTAATGAGCCCCCTAATACTAGACCTTTCTTCCTCCTGTAACTGATTGTTCATGCAGTTCAGGTTTATGCAATTATCACTTGGCATCACACAAGAGTAAGCATTTTCTCTTGGACAGACCTGGGGGCAGGTCTGCACGTAACATACACTGGAGGAGCAGCCACAACACGGTGCAGGAACATTTCGTGCCTTGGACTTTGAGCAATAAATTGCAATCTCGGGAACTGTTCCAAGAGAGGAGAGGTTTCACTGTCTCTGAAGTTAGTCTGGGTCTTGGCAGTGCTGAGGCGCTGGCACAGGCTGCCCAGAGAAGCTGTGGCTGCCCCATCCCTGGCAGTGTTCAAGGCCAGCTTGGTCGGGGCTTGGAGCAACCTGCTCTAGCGGAAGGTGTCCTTGCCCATGGCAGGGGCTTGGACCTGGATGAGCTTTGAGGTCCCTTCCAACACAAAACAGGCTAGGATTCTATGATTCTAATGGCTGCCCAGTTGCATTGACATGAGGAGAAAGTGACTCCATGAGGTAAAGCTATCTTCCATCGAGGCGGGAGGGGGAAAGCCTACACCAAATACTCTGTTTAGATTTCTGTTTCGATTAATACCCTTGCTGTGTTCTGCAGAGATTGTGGATGCTCTGTCTGATCTGGAAAGAAGCAGGAA